TACTTGAAGCGAATGTTCTTTTTTTACTTATACTTAAGTACAAAAAACATTATTTTATACTTTATCTTGGAGGTATAGATAAAATAAATTTTGTCAATAAGATCAATTAGCTGTGATAGGCGTTCAAACACTATCGTAACATCATCTAATGAAAAAAGTGACAATAAAAATGTTTTAACGAAAACTTTTACTCTAATACGCTGATTACTTTATCCCGTGTCTCTTGCAAAAACTGTCTATTTTCATTGTCCAAATTTCTTTAAAACTATGATGGCATCTTAAAATGATGATGGTCGTTTGATTTAGTGTCATGACAAAATATAGCTCTCCATAAGATTGAGAAAAATCTACTTGAATTCAGATCCGTTGTTTATAACTCAGGACAAATTATTATTTGGCTACGCTTTTGAATCATCAATAGAACTTTTAAAATGTTGTCTGGCGAGGCTTTAACACTGAATTTTGATGGAAGATCCTCGAATACATCTTAGAAAGTGCAGATGTGAATGTGGGTGGGGTTTAGGTCATATCTTCAGCCACATCCACACCCTTGTTGTCCGATGACGAAGAATCACTTATATGTATATGATTGTTATTCTCTCGAGAAGAACAAAACATTAAGTTAGAATAACTTTCAAAAGTAATAATAAGTTAGTTGTTAAAAGCACACAAAATCATCGAAGGTTCAATGATTGAGCACATCTGTATTTTATATGTTCGCTGAGAATTTCAAGCAATGGGCTGGAACATTTGTATCCGATGATTGTCTGTATCACTTATACACACATTGAATGAAGAATCGAGTGCAATGTTAGATGATGATAAGAATGTAGTTGGCATCGATCCTGGTGCTTCGATGGCACTAATAGTTATACCATTTGTACTTGGTTTGGGGATTGACTGAAAAGTTGAATACGATGATTGCCTTCATCGACGACATACAGATTACCTTGCGAATCACGTGTTACAGAAGTAGGTTTGTTCAACGAGCTGCTAGTTGATCCTACGATACCAGCCAAATTACCAGCAACCACGGTACCTGCAGATGTGTAAGAGGTACTTGCCGGCCGTTTGACAATCACATTATGATCTATATTCGCAATATACATTGTGTCATTCTCGTCAGCAACTAATCCTTGAGAATGTTGAATTTCACCTGCAGATCCAGCTTCTTTACCGGCCGCCTGTGACCCATTTTCGTACGATTACATTGAGACCATTATCGCAAACGTATATCTTATTATTCCTCACATGAACACAAGAAGATTTGTCCAGTGCTGTTCCCCAACCTGAAGAAGCAGTAGTAACTGTGCTACTGCCACTAGGAAAGAATTGAATGCGACCGTTACCCGCATCAACTACGTAAAAGTTTTGCATTGAGTCAATAAAGACACCATTAGATTTGGAAAGACGACTGGAACTTGAACCTGATGAAGCTGTAACACCATCAACTACTACACTACCTATGGCACCCGACAACCATTTCACGGTGCAGTGGTTTTCCATATCGACGATATAGAGTGAACTATCATTTGGATATACATAAATACCTATTGGGCTACTAAGTTGATTAAGAGTACTACCGTTCACATCGGTAACACCCGCAACTGAGGGTTTAACAAAACCATTATTTGTTCTCTTATTCAAGATCGTTTATTAAACAGAGCACGCTGTGGTCCATATTACCTTCCACCAATGAACATTCAAATGTGGACTTTTTTCTTCGTTCCAGAGCATCATTTTTCACGACAAAACATCTTTAAGGTAGCACTAATTTTAGAGGTTTCCATTGGTTGTCATCATTCTCATCTCATTTTAGTCACTTTCATTTCTTGAACGAATGGCACTTTCAACAAAAACTAATGTAGAAACTTTTTAAAGCTTATCGAATGTGAATATTTATATTCTATGTGCTTGTTGTTCTTACAATATTCTTCACAGTTAATCACGGATTAAGTTTTTGGTTACAAAAAAGCAACTAATTATGGAAAAGCATGACATTCGAAACACAATTATCACAAAAATTTGATATTCCACTATTAAGAACTCGAAAATAGATTCAAACTATTTTGAATTCTGTTATGAGGAGCACGACAATAAACAATCAACAATATACTTTCCTCCAAAACGCTAAGAAACTATAAAATACACTTCTCATACATGTTGATGGTCGTTGAGGTGAACTAATCTAGAGTGTGAGAAAGACAGCCAATATAATTTCTCCAAGTAACATAGCAGGAACAGCGTCTGTTATGAAACATTTGAAGTAGAAGCCTGAATGTCGATATCTTTTATCAGAACTGAAAAAACTCGTTGTTTAGAAAAGCTTACGAAAAGTTTCGTTTAGCACGGTTAACGTATGTCAAGCATATCTTTTACTCATATCTTCATTCTCCCAAACATGATTATTCGGTTGATTACTTTGTCTGCTGAGTACACTATTCGTCTTGGGAGTTGGTGCCGATTTAGCAGAACAATCTCTTAGAGGTGTCGATTTTATCTATGATTGTAATGCAGCAACGTGTTTCTCAACTGTCTAAATGAATCTCTTTAAGAATTTTTTTTCATCTATGGAAGTCGCCAGTTGTTTACGATTTCATTTGTCAATAGAGAGACTCACTTTCAAGATTCGATTTTAATATTATTCTCACATGATTAAAAAAAACGAAGATTCAGCTTGAATACATAAAATCCTCATTCCTTTTTTTTCGTCGTCAACGCCTCAAATGAATTTTCAGCAAAAAAGAAAGGTCCGAATACGTTTAAATACACAGAAAAATAATTATTTCAAGCGACATACAACAAATCCAACAGAATTATTGCAATTTTTAATATATACTTCATTTGTTAGGCAAAGCCAATATATTAATAGCGGAGACTCGGAATCAATGTGAGTGCCACGTAGGCGTCATCTGAATATCGAATGTGCCTTTGTAGAAGTGGATGGAGTGAATAAACTAATAAGGATGTAGACTACGTTAACGACTATATCTATACACTGATACATGCCCACACTTCATACACTGACTTCTGTTAGTAAAATATAGAGTACAACATGATCAATTTTTATATAATCTTGCTTCTCTTTCTAATATTATGTTAAATCTTTTTTGTCAAATGCTATTGGTTATACTTCTTGGTAACTTTCAAAAAGCAACTAGGAATTATTAGTACTTCTTATAAATAGAGGAAAAATTTATCGACGAAGCAACATATTTCCTGCATTGTCTTTGATTAGTTGATCAAACGGATATGAACCCTCAGAAAAAGATGGGCAGTGGAGTGTCATTCTAACATGCTTTGAACTAGTATTTGACACAAGATAGAGTATTTCTTTTTAATCAAAGAAAAGTGACGATATATAAATTATTTTTCATTGGTAAAAGCTTACAAATACTTTCGACTATTCACAAGTATTGAATGAAGTTATAAAACAGTATTATAAGTTCATTTTGAAATTTTCCATAAAATTGATATGGATACTGAATGTTCCTTAGAGATTACAGATATTCAGCAACTAAACTTATTATTAATTGACACATCGTCCATTTTCTTCACCAATACATTGGAAAAATCTCAACATTTCATTCAAGTATTTATTCAATGAAGACAATCAATAACAAATGTATTGCTTTGATTGAAGTGGTACAAATAATACAAAAACAACATACAATCAGTTTAAATTATCAAAACAAGTAAAATTCGAGAAAAAGAGCAAACATTCGAAGAGTAATCTTTCTCATTTCATTATTAAATGTTGTACATTGAATTGAGTAAATTAAGCTCATTGATGAAATAATCACATAATAGCAAACAACAAATTCTATTTCTAATAAATATTCTAATTATGAAAGTATTGGATATAAGTAAGATAAACTCTTGAGAAGCAAACATTTTTATTTTATTCTGTGATTGATGATGATTAATTTATAAGTAATCGCCCAATTTTCTACTATTTCTTAGTTTCTAGTCGAGCATTATCACTAACATCTAATAAACGGCACTGTGTTTCCACATTTTATTGTTTTGGTTGAATTTCATTGAGAATTTTTGCCTTTCTAGTTTTATATTAAACTTAACAAATATTTTGTTCACATCTCAATAATAACATGCATGTCTAAGAAAATAAATCATTAGCAATATGACAGCTACCAATGATTTCTCGTATAAAAAAATGCTCTCGTCACTGTAAGATAGACAACAATTAAGAACACTATTCAATCGATTGATAACATCAATCTAAATTAGGAAACCGTAAAAAACAAACGATCTGTGATGACGTTTGCGTTTCATTGATTTTCATCCTTCTGGAATGATGTAAGTTTTTGAAATTGCTAACTTATTGAGGCGGAGCCTAAAATAATCATAATGAGTTGTTTACACATATGTGCATTGTATCGAAAAGAAAAAAGAAAAGAAAATCCTATTAGTCTTTGCTGATGCATATTCTCCTTGAAAATTTTATCTCTTGCTTAATTTTACATACGTTATCTACAAATATAATATTTTCATTGATTGTACTTGAAATTAACAACTCTAACCTGATTTGAATAAAAATACCGATAACTTATTAATATTTAGAGTAGAAAAAAAAAGATTTATGAAAACTTTATTTTCTTAATGTATGACATCAATAAAAAAAATATATTTGATGAATTTTTTGATTGAATAGTATGTTTATCAATATTATTGTTGTCAATGTCATTTTCTTCTATAGCAAAAAGAGAAAGAAAAATCAATAGAAGCAATATGTTGTACATGCTAAAACAAAAAAAAATTAAAATCTTCGCGAAATTCATTCTATATTTTACTTCGTATTTGATTTTGTTAAAAAAAACGAACCTATACATTGTGTACAATACATGCCTTCTACCAGCTGCAGAACGCGTTATTATTCAACGACATTTAAATATAAACTCAGTGAAGCGTAAAACAGCAGCGAGAACAGATATATTTACAAAGGTATCTATACGTAACATATGTAAAAAGAATCGAACAGTATGTTACATTCTTCGAAATATCCATCTCCAATATGGTTATGGTGGCGTCGAAAAGCATTTTATCTTCGAAGATTGCCTTATATAAAAATTATATTTTTAATTTTGTGTTTTCTACTTTTAATTACACAAATACCGAATCCATTTTCTTCCATATACAAACGAATTCCACTTAATCAAAATGTTCCATGGGATAGTATTAGTGAAATATTGGAAATGAAAGAAAACGTAAATATTCTTTTTGTTTTCAACATATTTTACTTTTCAAAATGTAAAATAGTTGATAATCGAGAATAAAAAATAATAGTGAACATATTATGACTTTATTATAGGTTCTTTTTAATGATTCTTTATCAAAACTGGTTAAAATAATAAAAAAAAGCAATAAAGAAGCCCAATCATCAACACCTATTCTTATTCTTCTCTATACAAGTATTTTTCTTAATAAAAAATATTGTCGTCACAAACCCGATAGTATATTTGGTCAATCTTGTCCATCAAAAACTCGATGTCAATGGTCATGTGATAATCGAAAATTATCTCAAGCAGATGCAATTATTTTTCATGCATATGATATACAATATTATCAGGCTCAAGTACCAAAACGTTCCGAAACTAAAAATAATGCTATATGGATTTTATGGTCAGATGAACCACCTTCAATGGTCGACTATTCTTTATTTGAACAATATAAATTTAATTGGACAATAAGTTATAAATCAAATAGTGAAGTATCTATAGGTTCATATGGTTTATTAAGTACACGAAAATTAACATTTTCGAATGCTGATTATAATCGATGGATTCAGCAACAATTTAATGATCGATCAAAAGGTGCACTTTGGTTTGTATCAAATTGTAATTCTAAACAACGTTTAGAATATTATCATAATTTAAAACGTCAACAACTTATATCAGTTGAAGGTTATGGTCGTTGTGTTGATTATTATCCAATGCATTTTTGTAGTGCCGGTAGTCAATGTGAACATGATTATATGTCAAAATTTAAATTTTATTTAAGTTTTGAATCAACAACATGTCGAGATTATATCACAGAAAAATTTTTTAAAGCATTCTATCATGGTCTTATTCCTATTGTTTATGGTCCTGATCGAATTGATTATAATCAATTAGCACCAGCTGATTCCTATATACATATTAATGATTTTGATAAAGATATGAATAAACTTGCTAAACATTTACAAGAAATTCATTCGAATTATAATTTATATACATCATATCATCAATGGAGAAAAAAATATGAAGTTATTATTGATGGTAGAGCATTAGAACGAATTCGTATGTGTGAATTATGTGAACGTTTAAGTAAAACACATCAAGATGATATAACTTATTATGAAAATATTGAACAATTTTATCATGAAAGATGTTAATGATAATTCTTTAGTTTTTTTTTTTTTCTAATAAAATAAGTTATTATTTATTGAATAAATTAAGAAACAAAAAAATAAATAATCAAATTTTCTAATAATAAGATGAAATAAGATCAGTTTCAATCATTTTATTAAGACGAATTTCATCAAGTCCAATTAAACCATCATATAAAGATTCAAGATCTCTTGTTGATGATGTTGTCAAAAGATTTGATGTTTGTTCATGTGATTCTTGAATTTGAGAAAAACCAATTGATTTTTGAGAAGGTGTTCTAAATAATTTCTTTGATGGTGAAGGTTGATAACGTTCAAGTTGTGATAGTGAATAACGAGTGGTACCAACTTTATCTGGCCAATATAATTGTGTCATATGAAGTTTATTATATAGACATAAACTAACTGCTCGTGCAACACGTCCTTTAAGATCTTGACTAAAATTAAAGAATTGAATTTTAACAATTATTTGGTTTAAATTGTGTGAATGATTATTTACTTATTGTTTGGAATAATACGATAATAATTATCATCTTCTTCTTCCTCTTCTTCTTCATTTATGGTCGGAATTTCTTCGATTTCATCTTCGATTTCATTGTCTGGCACCATTAGACGTTCAAGTTCAAATGGTTCTATATTTAAAAAAAAACCAACAAATTTTGTTTTGAGTACGTATGTTCGAAGTCTCTACTTAATATCAATGAATAACTATTTTAATTGATAAGAATCATGTTCGTTTTGCAGTAAATATTGTTATGCAAGACAAAAAATGATTTTTCTTTTTCGTTCTTCGTGTATGCTTTATCGACATACGACTATACTACACTTATGTAGTACGTTTGCCGATTTTCTTATTAGAAAAAAATATATATCAATTCTGGAATTGATCTTAGCTCCATGACTAGTATAGATGACTTAGCCGTATCAACATTAACATTCTCTAAGTTTTAACAAACTTCAAAAATATACATACAATACGCCATGAAGAAAAATATTTTCACAAACCAAAATCGTTGATATATCGGCTGTAACTTCTTGATATTTATCGCATAGGTACTCATAAAATTTTTATCATTTGATTCACACTTTTCCTTTTTTTTCTCTCTATCACATCATGACAGTGATCTATTGAGAGGAAAAGAAAACCTACATGTTTGTAGAAGATCTTCTAGTTATACTTCTAAACAGTACTCAAAGTTCTGTCTGATTATACTACTAGTTGTTACACACACACAGCAGACAGTTTACCTTCAACACTACGCTTTTCCATTGAACAATCATTGATTTCTTTCACCAATCGATCTAATGTTTGTTCTTGCTATAAAATAAAAAAAAAGAATTTATAAAGTATTTTTCTTTTGATAAATATTTTACTAGAGATAAAACTAAACGTAATTGTTGATTATCAATAGCCGCATCATTTAAATGTTTGAATGTCAATATAGTTTTTCGTGAACTATTAGAATGTAATCGACCGGTAATTCTCATTTGTTTTTTTTTCGAATATGGATCATGATATACTTCAACAATCTAAATTAATTAAATTATTATTATGTTTTTTTCTTTCTTTATTTTGTTCATATTCAAAACATTGAAACTTACTTTTGGTACAAATACTAAACATACAGTTACAGTAGTACATATAACAATAAAGAATGATATAAGACAATATGAAAATTGAATTTGTTCTGATGGAATAAATACTACTAATGAACCAAGTGTACAACAAATAAATACAATATAAACACTTAAACCAATATAACGTGAATCATTTAATGCTGGAATTGTTACATGACGAGTTGTCCATGAAAGAAATGATCCATAAGACTTAATGATTACTCAAATTAAAAGATTATTATAAATTTTATTATTACATACCATTAATAAACCTTTATATGAAATTAAAACAAGAAACCAAAATGTTGTATGATGACCTTTACATTCTTCACGATATGGAAGAATTTCAATATCTTGATTATACTTGAATATAAAATCAAAAAAAAAAAAAAGAAAAAAATAGAAATTTTTTTTTTAAAAAAAAAAAAAAAACAAATATTATTTAATTGTTAAGACAATACTTTAGGTAGATATGGTATATCATAAACAATTTGTCGATGAATTGGATCAAATATTTGCCAAGCAATTAGAAAGAATAAATCAATACATAAAAGAGCACCGACGACGAAAAGTAAACGTGAATCATGAATACCCTAATAGAAGAATAAAAGAATACTTCAATTATAAAAATTATATATATTTAGTTTAACGAATAATATATATCTTCTCAGAAATTAACAAAACATATAATCATTATTATTCTCAAAACAAAATTCAAATCAACATGCTAAAATATTAATATATTTTTATTTGTATTTTAAAAAAGTTTCCACTACATTGCATGTTTAATAAATACAATCAATTATCTTCAATCAAAATTGATTAGATCTATCTTTATTTTATCATAATCTAAGTCTAATTTACTTTTTTTGTTATATTAATATTTGTAAAAATTGAATGTACACGCCAAGTTTTACTAAACATGGAACCAAATGCCAATGTAAAACTAATACATAAAAACCATACTCGAGTCTAAAATATAAATTATTTATTTTATTATATATTCTATATATTTTTATTAAACATACCGCACAAATAATATTCATGATTGTTTCGGTAAAAATTCCTTGTGGAAATAATGATGAATTAATTCCCAATAAAATCATACTAATATAAGCTAATATACAACCACCTAAAATAATATTATTTAATGCTGGACTTGACATTCGAATATATCTTTAAATAAAGAAAGATTTTTTTTTTTTTTTTTAAATAAAATTTAACAAAATTTATTATTACCGATGTTTTCGAAAATGAATATTAAAAACAAATAATGATATTGATATAATTAAACCAATTCCACTACATATTGTTATTGATATAAATACTGAAAGATAAATATGTTCAAATACAATTGTTTGATTTGTTCGATCTTTTGGTGGACCATTTCCTAAATAAAAAAAGTTCTAATTCTTTTTTTTTCTTTTCTTATTCTTTATAGAATAAATTTTAATTCATACAAACCATGCCATATGATTGGATTAATTTCATATAAATTTGGTGGATCACTTTTTGAATCGGAAGTTTTAGCAAGAAAAACTTTCACAATCGTTAAATTACAATCTTTATCTTTTTCATAACATGGAGTTTTACATGACCCATCATTCATCATTCGACAAGCTAAAATTTCCATTTGAATAATTTAATATGTTTTCGTAATTGTTAATGCTTACCAACATATTGTTCAACAAGAATTTCACCAACACGTCGACCATTCAAATACCTGACTCTTCCCTAAATATTTAATTGAAAAAAATTCTTTTTTTTTTTGTTTTTAACTTAAAGTAAATCGAAATTTCTTACCGTAGCACCATTAAAATCAATATTATCTACAATAGTTCTAATATTAGTTTGATTAAATAAGAATTTCGATTGATAAAGATATGCTAAACTCCATATTGTATCATATGCATATGCATCAAAATAATTTCTTTCGAATTTAGAAAATTGTTCTAAATAATCTAATACATAACTTGGTTGATCCTGAAAGAAAAAAAAAGGTAATTTATTCACTATATTTTTTTTTCATCATCCGTTTCTTACATTTACATCATAAATAGATAATTGTGGTATACGTGTTTGTAAAGTTCCATTTATTGCTCGAACTAATTCTTGTAGTGAACAATCAGTTTGTTCATTCCACCATGCCAATAATGATGGATAACCAAGTATAATCCATTGATAGCGTGATCCATAAACATGTTCTTTTGCAGCCTAATTTTAAAATTAATTAATAAAATATTAATTTCAAACAACGAAACTTACATGACAAAACATATGAGTTGCAATTGTTTGATTAAAATTTGCAATAATTATTCGAACATCTTTTGCCTAATCAAAATAGAATTTATTAAAAATGAAAATTTTATTAAATGTTGCTGTTCTTTGTTTTTTTTTTTTTTTTTTGGTACTTTAAAATCTTTGAGTAATCCTTTCATATTTTTTGCATTATCACCATGCCATTCCAATCCATGACGATAAGCTATACCTCGTGTTAAATTAACTTCCCATTGTTTTTTATCAATAGCAGTTAAATTAGATAAATCATTAGCTACCTAAAAAAATGAAATATAAATAATCTATGTTTTGTAATAGAAAATTACAATGGCGGTGAGTTTTCTAAAGTAAATCTTTTTTTATCAATTATGAAAAAAAAACATGTCGGCAAAGAAAACAAAAAACAAACTATAATAATATTTCCATCCGACGAGACAAATAAATCTTTTGATTATCATTGAAGATTGTTCTTTATAATTATCAAGATTAAATTAACTGAGTTAAGGTAATACCTAATTTGAAATAAACTTTCTTATGTATAGAAACTTTGACTTTGTTAATTACAACAACTTAATACTCGAGAGATTTACACTATATCAATCATTAAATAATTCGATTTAAGTATTTGACGTTTTTTTGTTATCATTAATTTGTAAGGAAACTAATGTATTTTTTCCCTTTAGGATACTAACGAAAGTGCTTTACTTCATTTATTATATTAAAATTGTTCGATATAAACAAAAAAAAAAAAAAAAACTTTGTACTAATTGAAATTCTCTAGAGATCAAAGTGAAAAGAGCAAAGTCAGAATTCATTCAAATGAGACATGTTTGTTCCCAATAGAGACTTCACTCTATCGATTGAATTGTTTATTTTAAATACCAATAAGTCTGATAAATAGATGAATGAATCATCAATGATGTTAATATAATTATTTTATTAATAGAATAATCAAGTGAAAAAGAAAATTATATTTAGATATATCTTTTCGAGTCGATTTTTCTGCTCTATTGACTTAATTATGTTTTTTTTTCCTTTAATAGTCATACAATTAGAATTCTTCTACTTGATATGAATAAGATTGTTTCTTATTTTACAATATAAATATATAT